ACTGCAGAAAGGATCAATTTCCATAGACCCCATGTTAAAATGCCAAACTTTACAGCAGAAATAAACATGTTTCTACCCCTGGATGCAATAACAATTATTCGGGATATAGTTACATTCCACCTTCATGATTAGGAATTGTTGAGTACAACTAATAGTTGTATTTTTGAAATTTATTTTATTTTGCTTGACTGTTTTTTTCCCCTTTAAACTCATAGTTTTGCTTTATTCTGAGAAAGTGTTGTTTTATCTTTATGAAACAAAACTAATCCCATATTAGTGGCCGACTCCGCCTACTTACGGCTTCTCGGCAACTCTGCAGAATCCTATGGGTGACGTCACGGACCCTACGTCCATTTATATATACAGTCTATGGGTGGGAGCTGATATTATGGTGAACTGGCCCTTTAACTGAGCTCCAGGGGGGCGTGGTCAGCCTAAAAATGGCATCGACAGATGATGCTCATTTAAAGGTCCCATGTCATGGCCATTTCTACTGATCATAATTCCATTGTTGAGGTCTACTAGAATATATTTATATTGTTCAATGTTCAAAAATCACATTGGTTTCTCATACAGCATCTCTGTATAGTATGTGTATTCACTCTGTCCTAAACTAAATGATTTACAAATGAACACCACTGCATATTTACAACTGTTACACATGCTGATGTAACGCAAATGTTTCCAACTTGGGATCAATAAAGTATATATTTTCTTAAGATGATCGATGGCTACTGCCATATTTGCAAAATGTGCATCTGAACCTTGACAAGTGCATGTTTCAGGCTTATCAATTAACAACAGGAGGGGTCACAGACATAAGACCAGCTATTAAATAAAGCTCTTCTGACCTTAGCTGTATGTGGGTATATATTAATGCTGCCCATTATGGGCACAAGCAATTTTCACCCGTTTATTAATTATATGTTTTAAATTTGAGTGTTTCCTATCCCCTAAACCTCCAGGGATGTACACAGTTTAATACTGGCAACTTCTTATTATGGGAAATATGAAAATGTCTTTTAAAACTACAATTCCCAGTGGAGACGTGCGACTGCCAAGGCACACNTGTAGCCAATCCCAGCCTGATGCAGGTCTACAGTCTTGTCCCTGAGGTCCTTAGACAGCCCTTTAGTCTGGCCCATGGTGCAATCAGATTCCGACCTCTCCACCATGGGCCAGACTAAAGGGCTGTCTAAGGACCTCAGGGACAAGACTGTAGACCTGCATCAGGCTGGGATTGGCTACAATACCATCAGAAAGCAGCTTGGTGAGAAGGTGAAAAATCAAACGGGCATCAATCAACAATCAATAGCCCTCGCACTGGGGCTCCACACAAGATCTTGCCCGTGGGGTATTGATGATCATGAGTGGACCAACATCCTTCCTGAGATGTGCACAAACCTGGAGACCCACCACAAGAAGCGTCTGACCTCTGTGCTGTCCAACAGGGGTTTCTCCACCAAGTACTAACACATGTTCTGCAAGGGGATCAAATACTTCTTTCCCACAGTTCAATACAAATACATTTGAATCTTTTATATAATGTCAATTTCTGGATTGTCTTTTTGATACTCTTACTCTCANCGGTCGTACACGTGAGGCCGACGACGGTAGCCGGTTTTTGTCGAGCGCGGTGGGCGTGACGCTCTCCCCTGGCGTTCAAAGGGTAGTCGTTTTTGTGCACAAACGATGAGGCCGAGGTTTTACACCTTACTCGAGGGGTACTGTAGTCCTGTCGTCTTTCGAATGTGTAGCAAGAAAGTCTGACCTTTGAGTAAGGAGAAATCTGAGGGTGAAGCTCGCTATCTAACGATTGTTTATTAATGATTTGTTTCGGTTGAATATATGTTATTTCCTGACCGAATAGATTTCGGTCAACTCATCGTGACTTTTATAAAGATCGAGATCTTTGGACTACATGAACTATACCTAAGACACAAGAGTTCAGCTTACGGAATAACATTCACGAACACTATTTTCGCGTCGATTTTACTATTACAGATAAACCATATTTCTCTCGACTTTGTTACTTACCTGTAGTTTATGAATTGGGTTGTCCTTTTTACGTCGATTATACCTATTAGCTATTAAGGCAATAATATCATACTACCTTTCGACCAGTACTTGTTCAGGGGTTTATATTCTGTAAGGACGTAAAGATAACAGTAATCATCTTTTAATGATAAAGCGGAACCTGACTGTAGACTAATCTCTCCTTAGTAGAAACCTGAACTCTTTACCTCTTTTCAAGTATACCCAGACTGTAACTTGCTGTTTGCTGGCTAAGTAATAATTTGTCTCTTTTCTAAGTAATCTATATTAGGTACACCTTTTTATCTAAACAACGTTCGGGAAAGTTGCTTTTTCTGATCCCAGTTCCGGTCTTATTTGACGTCACAGGGGATGGTCACGAAACCCCCGCGACGCGGTTGGGTTGCTTTGGGCGCGGCTTAACCATGTCCTGGATGTAGGAAGGGCCAGATCCATTCACAGCATGGTACACAAGTACCATTGTCTTGAAGTGGATTCTAGCAGTTACCGGACAGTTTACAGTCCATTTGATTTGAATTGGGAAATAAATGAAGCCTTGGGAACTATAGATTTATTTACAATGTATCAGTTTTTTGGTGAGTAGAATCATTCAATAAGTGTTCTTAGCAGGGATGGAACGGGTTTAATATTTTGATATGGTCCATTCATTTGTGTGTCAGCAATGTAGACTATCTTGAAAATCAATCATTTAATTTGCATTAAATCGACTTTTCGTGCTCTAAGGCAGATGATATCAATATGGGTGACCCTTTGACTTTGATTTTAGTGCTACCATGAGACAGAAATATGTTGAACATCAATGAACTAATTGTCACAAATTGTACTGCATATTCACTAAAAAGAAGAAGTGGAAGCTTCAACTTACAGTGTTACCTCTTTATTGTTTTCCACAGGCTGGGATGTGGAGCAGGGCAGTGCAGACGGACTGCAGCCCGACATGCTCATCTCCCTCACTGCTCCCAAGAAGTCTGCCTCCATGTTCAGGGGACGGTACCACTTCCTGGGGGGGCGCTTTGTGCCCCCCGGCATAGAGAGGAAGTACCAGCTCAACCTGCCCCCATACCCCAACCAGGACTGTGTGCTGCAGCTCTAGCAGATGTACTCAAGGTTTGATGAGAGGAAGGGTATTTGTAGTTAAAGAAATAGTTAATCTAATTAGAAAATAATTCCTTCTATATGTAAAAAATAAATAATGTTTATTGAGCCAAACACTGTTTCACATTATTGAGCAAGCAACAACAAAAGTAAAGGTAATTTAAAAAAGGAAGGATATTATTTTGAAAAGTATTACCGTACATTCAATTAACTCAAAAGAGAAAATCAAAATCTTTAAAATAAATAGTTAAAATTCAGAAAGGTAAAAATAAATTAAAGTCTAAAATGAAATAAAAACTACTTTCTTAACCTATCCTGTTTTTCTGTCCCATTATTAGCTGTAATCCTTTTGGTAAATCTTGTTTGCAAAAGGGTTGAACCGGAGATTTATACCAATCTCATAATTATGAAGCTGTAGTTCTGAGCTTAGTTTAGCAAAAAGATTAGAAATAGCTAGCCCATCTCTGTGGAAAAGTTGAGGAATAAACTACATACATAAACAACTACTTTGTTTGTTTTATCCTAACTATGACAATTTGTACTTGTTTTGGCAATAATGTGCTGTAACAATACATCTATATCCTAACTGCACTACAGACAGTTGTTGCAATCTTTACATCTAACCTAGGGAAATAAATAAAATAAGCGTATTCCCTAAATATTGAACTATTCCTTTAAGTGTATCGGTGAATCCTACAAAGTGTTATTAAAGAGCTTTATGTGCTCTGTTGAAGATGTATTTCAATGTGAAAGCACAGATCTTTAATGTAGAATCTACATGAAAGAAAAAAAGCATTTTTGTAATTTCTGTACCTACCGCTACGCAAACAATTAAAGAGAGGCTTTATGTTTCATGGTTGATATTTTTATTTAGTGCCTCTCCTCTGACACGTCTCCATGCTTTAATGTTCAAAAAGCTCTTTATTGTTCTCATACTGCCTGTGCTGCAGCACCTCTTTTCACCCTCTGTCTGAAACCAGAGCCCAGTCTGCCCTGATTGTTTAGCTAACCGGCTCTGTTGTGATTGGTCGACTGTTAGAGATGTCCCTCCCCTTAGCCCAGCGGTTCTCAAAGTGGGAGGCACGCCCCCCCTGGGGGGTGCAGAGGCATGCCAGGGGGGGCGCGAGAGACCAGGAGGAAAAATGGTTATACATTTTTTTTTTAAAGATAAAAAAAAAAAAAAAAGNAAATTAACAGTCTATATTTGTAATGGTAGGTTTATATAAACAGTGAGAGTAAGAGTATCAAAAAGACAATCCAGAAATTGACATTATATAAAAGATTCAAATGTTTGAATCTTTTATATAATGTCAATTTCTGGATTGTCTTTTTGATACTCTTACTCTCACTGTTTATATAAACCTACCATTACAAATATAGACTGTTAATTTCTTTTTGAGTGGGCAAACTTACAAAATCTGAAAGGGATCAAATACTTATTTCCTCCACTGTATAGAACATTGTACATTATTTGTGGAAATATATATGTGCAGAAGTAACTGGTGTTCTGTCAGAGCAGCATTGTGACTGACCTTGATGTCTTTGCAGATCTACAGCTACAATGAGGACGGCGCCACCGTGGAAAGCGAGAACTTCGTGGACCGTGTGGATTGGAACGGAAGTAAGAGGAGCAACGACATCCAAGACGCGTCTATATACCTGCTCAACGTCACCTTCAACGACTCGGGAACCTACCGGTGCTTCTTCAATCGCATCCTCTTCTACGACCACTACGAGTACAACACCATCATCAGCAAGGATGTGAAGCTCACCGTGGTGGCCAAAGGTACGATGACTTCTACTGCAGATCTACAGCTGCTGGGCCTGTGATGGGAGAGCAGATCGAGTCATTAGGAGCAGGGTTTAAGAGCAAGCACTGCAAAAAAAAAGATGTTAAGAAGTAACCTAAGTTTGGCGGATTTGGGGCTCAGGAGGTGAGTGGTCTTCCACCAATAGGAAGGTCGCTGGTTCAATCCCCAGCCCATGCAGTCAACATTTCAAAGTGGTCTTGCAGCCTCTGCCATTTACAATATTTGTGAGTAGGTGAATGCTTGAATATGTATAAGTGCTTTGAGGGGTCACAATGACTGGCGCTATATAAATGCATTCCATTAACCTCCAATAAAAATGGCACAGAAATATTGCAAATAAATACAATTTTTAATAGTTTTGAAAACGACCTCTTCAGCCAAGAATCTTAGCCCGTCATGAAAGCTTGAATTATTTTTTTAAATATCTGATTTTTGTTCCAGACCATAATGATTAAACGATAGAAATTTCCAAACTGATGCCTACTCACAAGTGCTTATTACAGATTGTCACTATGTATGAAGTCACATCTATATCTATAGTACATAAATTGAGTGTGTCACTTTCCAGACCATAATGATTAAACGACAGAAACAGTAATAGACACCTCGCTCACTCAGTTTCTCAGTATGTATGAGCAAAATGATTATTGCTTTCAATTTATTGCAGATTATCTGATTTCACCATATTAAAGGCAATGTAAGGTATGTAAAGTATTAGGTCAGTGGTCATCTACATCTGTGTAGAAGGATGCAGAAACAGGGCAGGGCCCCCTTTACAATATATATATATATTGGGTTCCATATTAAACTGGGCCTACAATACATCTATCCAGCCTAAAGTAAACATACTTTTTTAGAGTGCAAAGCTCTTAAATAATAATGCGTTCTTATAGTTTGCCGTTATATATAGGTGCCTCACAGTAAATTAGCAGAGGTAAGCTAGGTCATGAGATAACGTGAGGTTATGTGCATTATCAGACATGTTTTAATTTAAATTAAACCAACAATTCGGCGGCATCTCTTTTGTAACGTCCTTTGTTGAAGACCAATGTTTTAGACTAAAATAATGCTTTAGAATTAAGTATGATTCCTAGGCAGCATGGAAAAAAAGAGGGGGACTCAGTCATGCTTTTCCGGTTATTACCCGTCCCCTTGTGTGTTATGTAGCTTTGTCTGCATGTAAACTGTCTGCAGAGTCACAAACCCTCAAAGTAAACCCTGTAGCGAGTAAAACTCTAACACAGAAAAGACCTGTCTATGCTGCCCCAGAACGCCTCGTTGGAGATTTCTCTTTTTACATTTGTTTCTTCCGGGAACCAAGTGACGTAACAACGTCACTTGGACCAATGGACCAATCCGCGGAGCCGTTACGTCACGTCCGCGTAGCCGTTACACACACACACACACACTCAATCTTTTCTCAGGCAGCTGCAGCTCCGCGGATTTCTCAGCCTAAGAAGGTGGGACGCGGCGAGGCTGTGAGTCTGTGTGAGCACACACACAGACTCACAGCCAGCCTGCGGGTGTGTGTGCTCGGGCTGGGTTTCGCTGTGTCTCGCTGTCTCGCCGACCCCACGCAGCAACCAGGAAACCACACCAGTAAGCCTGCTCACACTGGCCGCTCCTTGCAGCAGCGAGCCTCGCAACGTCCCGCCAACACGGCACCCAGACCCCACGCAGCATTCTCATCTGTTTGTCATTACTGGTGTCATTTTCTGGTTGCTTACGCCATTGTAACACATAATCACTGAAGTTCCACTGTAACGGTGGTGCAGGGCCGGCCCGTAGCACTGGCGTTATAGATGTTCGCCTAGGGCGCCAGATCTGGGGAGGCGCTGCGCTGGTAGAAAAACATATTTGACCGTTGGTGCTCATCCTAATTTTAGGCCTTGATGTAACAACATTCATAATTAAGTAAATGTAACACCCTTTTTTGACCCCGGTTACACTTTTCATTTGCCCTGTACGATGGGCGCTGTAAGTGATGAAAATGGGGGATGCTGGCTTATCTGGCGCCCG